ATTTTTTTTGTGTGGCTACTTGTGCCTTTCTTGAGTCCTGCACTGCTTGTCTAAATAGGGCTCACATATTGTTCATCTATACCAAATCTTTCAATGAATCTCATAGTAAATATCATTCATTTGGACGGCAAAGTCCTCAGCCGTTATATCGGTTACATTATGAGGAGCTTATCAGCAAGTTATTACTTGGACTTGGAGCCTGAGGAACATCTGTCAGTTTTAAGAGGTTCCCTGGAGTAAAATCTATGAATGAAATTCTTGACCTTTGACCTTTGCTCTTGTAATATCACCTGCAACTGCTCTGGTAAGACACTGCTTTGGATATACATCCCTGTACGCATTACCATAGGTGAAGACAATGTGTTAAGCTATTAGTCTGGGTAGCAAGTGTATATTTGCTCAGGAAAAAACAGTTTTGCTGTAAAATATGTGAATGAACAGTAACGCAACAGCGATGGAAAAACGAGAATTCTGTTCTCCAAGATGCCGCCGACGTTGCCAGGCGGCTCGATGGCACCACTTTGCTTCCCAAACCTCGCCTCAGCGCCACCACAACCCTCCTGTGTTGGTCAGATTTCTCCAGCTCACTCAGTCAGAGCTTGATGAGGTGCTGATTAGCCAAACGTGCTATGCTAACAGTCAAGTTAACAAATACATGGGGTGGTAGGGAGGTATACTGTGGGATATACGCAGGTATGTGGTAAACATCTACCTCTGAAAATGGATTTACCATATATTCACCTAAAAATTGTCAAATGGGTATCAGTCAAAGGAGAAGTGCATATATGCAAGTATACGGTGTAACGGAATGCCTCGGGTGAAGAACGTCTCACTTATGTAGAAATCGTACTTATGAGCAGACTTCCATAAAGCCTATTATATTAAGAATTAGTTACACGATGGTTCGTAGTAATGAATACACTCTACTTGGATGCTCGTGAAAACACTGTGCTGTTTCAGCAGCTTGTTGGCTCGAGGAAGGAGAATGCCCTCCTCCATGTTAAATTTCACATTGCCTTTAACACTCTTGCAACTTGCCTACAAATTCAACTTAAAGATGACTCTCGTTCGTAACCTGGGGACTGTCTGTACCCCCCTAGCAGGGCACCGTCGCCACACTGCTCACTGCCAATTCCGGGGCGACTTCTGGAGGAGTTTAGAAGTGACTAAGCTGACGCGCTTTGACAGACGTTTCTTTAGCAGCCTAAGACTCCCTTTGCACCGCGTTGTAAGTGTGATTAATGTAATAAATAGCTGGCCTTTGGGGGGTGTGATTGTCTGTCCTTGCTTCTAAGCCCCTCCCACTTTTCTTTGTCTCTGCAGTACGGAAAGAAGGAGGCGGGGGGTGTGAGCCATGTCCCCCCAGGCTGGGACCAGTGGCACGCTCTGGTTAGTATCACCAAACCTGCCCCTATTGCTCTGCCCCGCGTGTGTCTCACCTCTTCCGGTGTGAAGCCACATCTGGCCACCTGTCGCTCTTGTACTGGCCGCCAATGTGGGCTCTGTAACACTTCCTGTCTGATCAGTGAATCTCACTGGTCTTGCTGTGTCTTCACATTTAGCATGCTGCTATGCTAACTGCAGCGTTTTGCACCATGGTCTCAGTACAAAAAAAACCTTAGTCTACTGGAACCAGGGTCCAAAGTTGCTTAGCGATTACATCAGCGTTTGTTATTAGTGCCTGTTTCATGTCATAATTAGATGATGTCATGCCTACAGGTTGGGAACTCGCAGTATTACAACTACAGTCTATCGGTGAACGGCAAAGAGGAGAAGCATGGGGATCAGTATGAGAAGGACTACCTGACAGATCTCATTGTGAGTGTGAGCTCCGCCGAAGAATCGGGACCGTGACGCTCCACACCATCATCATCACCCCCCCCAGAAAGCCAGCAGCACCTGACAGGAAGCCCTGCATCACAAGGCACTCAGTCACATAAAATAGGGAACTTGGAAATCCGCTGTTTTTGATCCAGCGTGTTTTCTGGTTGCAGAGGCTTTAATCACCAGGTCCAACGTATCACAAGTCTGGTTTGAGTTTATATAGTTTGCATTTCAATACAGCTGACATCAGTTTTCGGTTAATGCAACACGCATGTATACATAACGCAAAATTGCCCTGCTGAGGCAGTGAGCGGTGGAGTGTTTAACCAAGCGTCAGTCCGCTTTCGCTACAGAGATCTGCTGTTCTGTTACGCTTTAGTGACACCTTCAGTGCTGTGCTCGGTTACATTTGGTCGGGTCATGTGACCATCTGTTTACAGCATCATTTATCAGTCACTTGGAAAGAAATATGAGCTCTGGGGCAAATTCAATCTCCCCAAGCAAAAGCTGTTTGTCTAGTCAGACTCGTAAAGCAGAACCTATTACCCCAAACCTCCTTTCTCTAGCAGTGTGTTTTCCCCTGTGGGGATTGTATGGACCTAAATTATGGGTTATCCTTTGCTTCTAAGACTGCGTGCTCAGCAGCCAGTGTGGTTAATCTTCAGCGCAGCCTGGATGTGACTCATTTTCTGCTGCTGTTGGTCAGTTGAGGCCCTGTAGGGACTCCAGTGTCTGAGCCCAGCACGGTCTGGCTCAGTCTTGGGATGTTGTAATGCTCTCCTGCCCCTTCTCCATGCTCCTACCTCCCAGGTGAACAGATCCATGCAGTTCATCGACGAGAGAAGCCCGCAGCGACCGTTCTTCATCATGCTGGCCACCCCCGCACCTCACTCCCCTTGGCTAGCGGCCCCCCAGTACCAGAACGCCTTCAGCAACTTGAAGGCGCCGAGAGACGGGAGCTTCAACAAACCTGGAGGAAAGGTTGCTTGAGGGATTTTTGAATGGGTGGTGGGGGGTGGAGCATCTCATGCTATACTGTGAGGTTCCTGGGGAGATCTGATCCATCCAGTGGGTATAAATGTCTCTCAGGTCTGGCCATTCTTCATTCACACGTGGTTGGGGGCATTTTTCTCATCTCTGCTGCCATCTAGAGGAAACGAAAGCTTAGTCTGTGGTTCCTCCTGTCTCCCTCTGTCCAGGACAAGCACTGGCTCTTGCGGCAGCCCACCAACCCCATGGCCAACACCTCCATCACCTACCTGGACAATGCCTATCGCAAGAGGTCTGGTGTTTCCTTAGATCCTTAGAGTAGTGCTTCCCAGCCCGGTCCTGGGGACCCCCAGACGGTCCACGTTTTTGCTTCCTCCCAGCTGCCTTTGGGTCCCCAAGGACTAGATTGGGAATCACCGCTTAGCGAGCTCTTCCCATCGTGCGCTGTGGATCACGGACTGGAGTTACCTCACTTATGATTGGCCTCTTTGCTGCTACCCATAAAGCCAAAACTGGCAGTGGATCTTCATAGCAGCTGCATCTTCCTCCAGTTACTTAGGCACTGGCCTGGCTTTAGAAACTCACCCTGCATCCACAGAAGTTCTTTTACAGCCCAGCAGGTTCTGCTCTCTTAGAATCCTTACTCTGTTAGACAGTCACTCTTAAAATAGAAAAATGCTGTAAGGCTTGCATTTAAGAAGCACTAAGAATGACACCAAAATGATGGTACTGGTGCTGATTGGGTCCAAAAGCTGTGGTTCTGCTGCCCCGTACTGCAGGTGGCAGACGCTGCTGTCTGTGGACGACCTGGTGGAGAAATTGGTGAAGAAACTGGAAAATGTGAAGGAGCTGAACAACACCTACATGTTCTTCACCTCTGACCACGGCTACCACACCGGTGCCTTATGGACGTCCTGCTCTTTGTCCACTTCGGCTGGTCTTCAGTCATGATATAGATTCTTTCCATTTCTCACCTTCACTGTTAATTTACACCTTTGTCACTTTCAACATTTGTTTTAAGAAAGGCCGTTTTTTTAAACTTTAATATTGTCCATCCATCCATCATTCATTGATGCTCATCCAGAAGGGGGGGGGTGAGAGTGGGCCTGGAGCCGGAGGCAGGGGGGCACCCTGTATGGGATGTTGGCACATCACTGGGCACTCGGTTGCACCCACTCACACATGCAATCAAAGGGGCCAATTTAGAGAGTGTAAACACTGGAAGGACACGCTAGGTTTGCACAGAGCTACTCGGTCAGGGCTTCCCTCATCTCTCTGATGGTTGAGCTGGTTGCTGCTTCCAACCAGCACCTGGCCCTCAAATCCAAGTGCCCGAGGCTGAGGGGCAGAGTAGAGCACAGAGAGCGTCATGCATTCCAATGCAGATGCAGTGCACTGGGGTTTGCAGAAATTAAATGAAATGGAAGAAATGAAAGGTCTTCCTATGTGGCAAAACCAAAGGATTTTAAAAATAGACAAGATCAGGTATTTTAGTCTGTGGCTGTCATCAATGCATGAGTTTCTGGATGCGATGTGGGTTTATGTAGCTTGAGGCTGTGGATCTCTGAGTAGAAATTTCTCACTCACAGGGCAGTTCTCCCTGCCGATCGACAAGAGGCAGCTCTATGAGTTTGATATCAGAGTTCCTCTCATGGTCCGTGGCCCTGGCATCAAACCCAACCAGACCCTGCAGGTGAGAGTCTCCC